CTAACATTTGAAAAAATTCGACCCAGAAACTGATTTGCTTTGCTCAAAACAAAAAAAAAAACTTTTGTGTTCCTGAAATCCAAAACAAATGCCTCCGCTATGTCGTTCTGTCGTTTCCTTTGTTGAATGAATCAATTTGAGTAAAATTTTCATCTCTAGAGTTCTCTCAGGGGTTGTCTGAAACTCAGAAAGATTCATCCAACACGCCCATTCCCAGATTATTTCTCCAAATTAGGTTGTCATCACGGAAAACGTGTCTTCTGCGAAACCGTACATCGACTTCCTTGCTGAGTTTTCTGATTCCAGTTGATTCCTTAACTCGGGAGTTCTCCCAGCGGTTGTGCTGACACTCAAGCCATAGATAATAACCCGTCAGTTTGTCGTTGTGTCTGTATATTGTAACGAACTGTTCCCACAGCCAGTCACCGCTTACTTTTTAAATCCCTACTATATTATACCGTCACTACTGTACCACTTTCAAGCGTTAATGCACCTTCTCGTAGTTTTACTTAACTGAATATATCTCAGTGTTGATTTTTTAATTTACTTCATAACACACATCTAAAAAACGTTTAATAATGTTGTTCAGGTCTTATTTTTTGCTTAAACGTTTACTTTAACATGATTTTTATACAAGGAGAAAGCTCTTTGTTCAATCCTTTGAAGCACAAACCCCTAAAATCAAAAACAAGTTTACGTCAAAATTTTTTTAGCTGGTAAAAGGTTAAGCCTAAGTCTAAGTTTTAATGCAAAAACAGCAAAAAATGGTTCAATTTGTTAGACACAATTATCCTCATATCGCTTCAAGCACCGAAATAGTTTTATGGCACCATTTAATCAATAACTTAGTAATTCGTCACAATTTTTGAATAATTAACAGGACAACATTAAAGCAGTTATATATTGTCAGGTGTATGGAACTGAAAATTTTTTTATAGCCTGAAACAAATCTCAGCCCTTAATTATCTCCATAATGAAACAAGTTAAATCAAAGAAACTAAAAACCTAGTTTGCAAGAAAAGTATAAGCAAATATATCAAGAGCATTTACTTGAATCAAAAACCCTAATGATCAGTTAGCGCCACGGTAAAAACCGCAATAAAATAAAAAAGCGAACAAAAAGTATGGAAAAGCAATTACAACTCAGTTCACAATTTTTAAGCATAACCTGATATCAATGTAATTTGAAGAAGTATCGAACAACCGTCTTTCTAAAAAATGGATGAGTTGTAGCACTGAAAATGCTACACGGACTCTTGTTTTAATTGTTTACTTAAGATTGGAGTGGGATCTTTTCCACTTTAAAATTGTCAATCAGTCACAAACTTCTAGCCCCGAAATGAACTCAATCTCCAGATCAATTTTGGTTATTTCAGTGAGCCTTCCAATGTCTTTGTCTTAATTATATTGTTGATGGTTTCCTTCCCGGAAGAAAGGTGATCAGTTTTTCCTCGGTAGCTAACTCATTTCAACTATGTAAAAATTCCATATAGGCTATTCTAATCCCGACATTCTAACTATCAGGATAACTTAGTTCGCCTATTAGGAATCATATTAAGTCAAAAAGTCAAAAAGTCATAAAGTGGAAAGCAATCAAATTTTTTAAGAATCTTAATTTGTGTGCCGCGCTCCTATTACTGCCGATATCCTCAAGGACTATTTTTCTTTAACCTAGTTGAATTTCTATTAAAAGCTTATACATCGAGCCAAGCTGAACCCTTGTTTGCCAAGATCACTTGAAAAATTTCTACTGCTCTAATGTTACAATGTAAAAACTATATCCCTGTCATTTTCTGCTTCAGTTCCCAAAAGGTGGGTTTCTTCCCATTTATAAATAATGTGATCAGTTCAAATGGTCTTATAAAGGTCATTGCGGGGTCACCCGGGGTTAATCACATGGGGGTTATATCTACCAAGTTCCATCTTTATCCAATTAATACTTCCCAAGTTATCCCATTTTGATTGGCCGTTACCACTTTTTCCGGGAAAAAGCTATTAACACCGCCAGGAATTGCCGGATGGGTTTCATTCACGAGGGAAATTTTTTGAGATTTTTTGTCTAGTGTCTTTTCCGCTACAAAATCAATATAACCTAGCTCATAACTTTGCGTAAATTGCCTATTTCCGGACTAAGAGTTGTTTTTCGCAAGTGCTGATAACTTCCGGTTCAACCGCTGGATTTGGCTCAAATTGTAATACACGATGTCCCCCGCCACTACTTATCGTGATATCCTTAGGGGGTGGGTGAGTCTGAGAGGTCCGGGTTCTTGCATGTCCGGGTCAAACCATCACTAGTATCCGTCCCATGAGTTTCATAAAGTCAAGCTTCCTTAGTTCCTATTTGGGGGGTGGGGGGGTGTTGCCGATAATACTTCACTCGGGTTTTCAGCCATAGTAGGGACAAACTCTTTCATGCTTCTATTTAAATTTCGACTTGACCGTTTGTGTACTTTCTACTCATCGTGTTTTTTAGTGAATACGAAGGTGCGTACTACTCAATAACATTTACTATGCTGCATACAGTTCTCAGGAATATCTCTCAACCGAATTCTGAGATTGGCGAAAATGTGCCAGAATTACCGATTTCCTTTAAAACAAAAGCTACTAGAACTCTTACTAGTTTTTTTAAGAGCTCAACTTCAACTACACTGATCAAACTCAATTTGTTTGTTCCAATCAAATTTAGTTAGTTCAAGCAAGATCACGATTGCACTATTAGTTTTTTTTTGTTGGCTCTGAAGCCAAATTGGGTTTTTAATTGCTTTTCAAAATCCTGATAGCTGACATTTCCTTCGAAAGAAAAACTACCTGCGCTTTTTCGTTTTCGAAGCAAATAAAATGGATCGATGACAACAATCTTTTCAAAATAGAGCAAGTCTAGTGAAACAGTGTACTTAACATTTTTGAAATCAGTATTTTAAATGTCAGAGAAATTATCAGCCGGATCAGACTGCAAAATTTTCAACTTGATATATCACTGAATCATCTCCCTTTTGCTTGTTTGAGAAAAAGGAAAACACTCGAAGGCGAACTTTGGCCCCTCTTTCTCTGTGGTCGACCTTACATACTTGAAAAAGAAGAGGTTCATTTAACAGATTTAAATTAAAGACAGCTGAAACGTACTTTTTTCGTAATCGAAGACGGTGGAAATGCTTTTCTTTGGTCAAAACATTAAAGACTTGGATTGAGGCAGTCAAAACTATAGAGTTTGGGACGAAAAACAATGTTTTTTGGTCGAGTCTGACGAAATATAAATATTAAGATCCTGACCCGAGAGCACCACCGTAAAAGGCCTGCTCATATGCGCAACATCAATTTAAGCATCGTCGCACAGAATAAGAGAGCTAGAAACCAATCAAATCAAGCATAATTCATTAGGGTTAGAAGAACAGTCATCAAATAAACAATCAACTGGCAAACTCATTTAGCATAACTTCGCTTTTTGCAATTTTTCCCAAACATCGTCTTTTGTGAAATAAATTTTGTGTTTATATCATCATCTTTGAAATGTTGAATTGTCACTCGAGCTATTTTTTGTGCAAGAAAGTCAATACAGGCGAGTCAAACCCCAATTTGAGTCGAGCCATTCAAACAATATCTGAGCTCGGTCAAATAAATCTCTGGGTTAAGAATTAGTTGGCCGAGAAATGCACGAGATAGTAGGAAAAAATTATTATTTAAATAATTTGGGTCAAACCAAGTCGAGCATAGTTGTTTTTGTATTGGTGGTCCGTTGCCACCTGTTTTGGAAAAGAAGCTCCGCGAAAGGCACTGATTGATTTTTATACTTTTTTGGCAGGTAATATCTTACGTTTACATCCACAAGAAACGTTGTTTTGTCGGTGCAATGAATTGTTACCAAATTGGATCCAGTAGTGTTTCAAGCGAAAAAATAACTGGTGTAAGAATGTGGACAGCTGAATCCTTGAAATAAGGCTCTTGCTTGTAAGTAAAAATAGGAGAGTAGGTTAAGCAATTCTAATTATAATTATTCAAATCTCGTTTTCAAATACTCATGTTTAATTCAGCATTATACTCAAGTTTAATTCAGCAAAACACTCGCATGCGTTCGATATTTATTTCGCAACTTGGGAAGGACGATTTTATCGAATGTAGAGTCAATATCATGACCTCGGATCACGCGAAGATAGTTTTTTCAGTTTTCCCGATCAGTCAGACGCGAGTTTTTCCTCAAAAAGATCAAAATTGTTCGGGTATACAATGCGCTCATCTATGGTAACGTTATGGAAAGAATAGTGGAAAGAGATTTAAGTCGAACAAAGACATTGTTATAAAATATAATTATTACGGACGCGATTGACTGAACTCGAACATTCAGTATTTATATGAACTCTTCAAAATCGCTGCCTGTTGAACCAAAAGTACGATAGTATTTTAAAAACCAAATGGCACTTCTATGCTCTTCACTTAATCAAATTGTTTTCGGGCCGCAAAAAGAACGTTAAGAAATTCGAACGCTTTTTTTTCAACAGAAATTGCTCAATAAGGAAGATAGGAGGCTCATTAACTTGTTTTGTAAGAAAATGTTGTCTCAGAGTACTGATGAATTTTCTGTGTAAAGTAGTTTATAGAAAAGAAAACATAAGATGACCCGCACTGACAGAAATTGTTTCCGGTCGATTTAAATTGATTTTAAATCAGTTTTAAATCGATCCAAATGGATTAACCATGTACATTTTACGAACTTAAATGGATTTTAAATCGATTCAAATCGATCTTTTTCAAAATTTTAAATCGATTTAAGTGTATAAAAAATCGATTTAAATCGATTTCGATGGATTTTCCGACTCACTAAAATCCATCCGAATCTCACTTAAATCCATCAGAATCTCACTTAAATCCATTTTAAATCGATCCAAATCAATCTTCATCTTTTATATTTAATCTTCGTACTTTTTTCATACTAAAATCGATTTAAATTTAATCAACGTACTTTTTTCATACTAAAGTCGATGTAAATTTAATCAACGTACTTTTTTCATACTAAAATCGATCCTAATCCATTTTTGTCAGTGCGGGGAAGCCTTGATCATTGAACAGAATGGTCGAATTAGTGTCAAACTATTGAGCTGGTTGGTAGTCTAAATGGAACAGACACGGTTTAAGTTCACCAGTTTCACAATTTTCTCCAAAAATTGTAGTTTGATCAAGGTTACAAAGTAAAATTGTATATTCTAAGGGTGCAATATTGGTCTTTGAGTAAAGCGTAATTTCCTCTTGTGGTTCCGACTGGGACACATCTTTCTTAATATCGAGTTCATATACACGGGATGTCCCATTGTCAATATCTGCCACCCAAAGGTGTCCAGTTAACAACTGGGCTTGTGAATGGACTCCGTCTGATGGCATCCAGACTAGAGAAAAAACGTCCTCTACTTCAGACAAATTTATATAGATCACAGAGATTGGCTTTAATGTTGATGTTGTTGACGTTGTTGGCGTGCTTTTATCTGTTATGTTTGTTTTTATTAATGCTGCTTTTGTTGTTGTTTTTGATTTGGAGCCACTTGCTGTATCTGATGGTGTTGGTGTTGGTGGAAGTGAGACAACTGCCACTCTGTTGGTATTGTGACCACAATAGAGCAGCAATGTTGTCTCGTTCGCCAATATACAACTGCTAGTGGGCAATGCTCCGTCCGCTGCAATATCAAGTGAGACAGTGCGCTGTCGTTGTTTGTTAATAAACACAGTCGCACTTGTCCATTTCCAGTCTGGTGTACTGCGATCAATTACAGCTACTACCACAGTAAGACCTGAAGCACTTACCATCCAGCTAGTGCTTCTTCCGTTTTCAATTCCGTCTGTATCTAGTAGTCCTTTCTTCTCAAGTGTATTCTGATCCAATATCTCCACTCTTTCTACTCAATCACTATTCCTCACTATCCTTCCGTACAACACGTTGTTACTGTCCATTGCTATCATACACAGTTCATCTCCGTTTCCTCTCAGTGCAGTCCAGTCCATCGTCCTTTTTTGTTTAACCAGTCCACTTGATTCAGCTGATCCACACATCTACTCTAATTAAAATCTCATAATCAGTCCATCTAAGACATACCACTTCTTTTGTCTCTGTGTTACAAACCGCCTGCAAACACGGAACCACATCATCTCCCACTGCCTTCTTTTGCACTCCCACTAGAGTCCTTCTCTTTCTCGCAACAACTTCTTTCTTCCCACTAACAGATGAAACACTCTCGCCTCCAACCGCTCCACTTGATACACCAATTTCTTCCCTTCCACCTATTAATGCATCCTGTTCCGATTCATTTGAACTGTGAGCGTCATCTCCAATTGTAGAGGAGCTGCTACCCGCAGAGATGCTTCCACCCCCGCCTCCGACACAGTCACCGAAAATGACCCCCCACTTCGCTTCGAGCGCATCAAACTTGGCCAAAATCTTCGACTTGAAATCTTTCATGTCATTCAAGTGAGCGCGCAAAAATTCCCTCAATTCTTCCGACTTAGTTTCCAGTTCGTTGGCTGATTTGGATTTCATAACGTTAGACTGCTTCTTTTCTGCGACAAATACTTGTCTTAAAACTGAGGTCCAACCACCTTCACATAGTCTGGTCATGCTCTGGCACTCAGTTTTATACTCCGCTAACCTCGTTTGCACTTCTTTTTGGGGTTCCAAAATAACTTTCATTAGAGAAACAGAGTGTTTTGTTTTATCGCGATGCTCTTCCGCCCAGCAGTCTTCGCAGAGAAACTGTCTGCACGTTTCACAGTAGTAACGCCGAGTGAAATTGGGATGATTGAAGCAATAGTTCACCGAGTGAAACTCGGAATGAGAGAAAATTGAGGAGGTTGAAGATGTAGTGGTCGAAGATGAAACGCCAGAGGCGCCCGAATTAGTTGACGCGACTGAAGAAGGTCTTTCTAAAAGACGACTTCATTATATTTTCTTCTATGATTTCGTCAACTCGGCCTTTTAATTTTAATATACTAGTGAAAAATCGTCTAAGTCAATAAAAAATCAGAAAAAGGTCATCTAAATAAAAAATCAGAAAAAGGACAAGTAGTATCAAGAGAGAATGATTACCGGTCAGTCATTTTGACTGCAAAGTCTCAGGGGGCAAAGGCGAGAGCGTATGTTATTTGGAAAATTCTTCCAAAGAATCCAACGCATGGTGTGTGGGGCTCCCCAAGATCTGTGTTTAGTGCATGAGGACGGAAGATAAACTCTTAGCTCAAAAATAAAAACTGCTAATTTTTAATTAAGGACACGGGAACGGTACTCACCTTGTTGGAATGCTTGCACATAAAGCGGTGGAGTTACCACAGAAAACCTGTTCAATGCGGCCACGGGTCTCACCGGCAAATCTCCCACCCTGATTCGATCTTTGAACGTGGCCTTCTGGCTGGGACAGTCCAGCACTGGACATTTCTGCGAAGCCTGTCAATACAATTTTAAATTTCTCAGACTAAAATGTGTTTCAAAACGTTGATAAAGTGTTGAAACACAAGACAAACATTTTCAAAGATGTTACTGAAAACTATGCTTTTTTCTAGATCTCGAGGTTCTGGACATCACATTGGACATATTCAAGCGAAGATAAAACACTCAAGTCAAGTAAAATTCAAATGAGGGAAATATATAATGGTTCGGTAGAATTTAAAGTGAAAGGGCTTTAATATAGTATATCACTCAACCCAGTCCTATGAGTTATTTCGTGGAAAACACACACACACACATTAAGAAAAAACAAAAAAACTAAAACATCCCCGTATACAAATTTTGACCCCGTTTTTCAAAATGGTCGGATTAAAAAGAGAATCCGACAAATCCGACAGTCCTCAGCCTCGCGAAAAGTACACGTAAAGCAGCAACTATGTTGAAGCCAAACCCAGAAAACAAGAAAAACGATCCGAGGGTTTACCAAGCAGCAGGAAACTTGACAAGCAAGTTGAAGACAAACACGTTGAAAAAGTTAAAGGCGTCCGAAAAAAAACCAGTCAAAAAATTTAGAGACAAAACAAACATCAACAAAAAGGTCTTGAAACCAAGTATAATCAAGACCATCGCAAAGCAGACGCATATTCAAACAAGGATAGCCGGTTACTGTGCAAGTAGCACAGAATGTTCCGACACAGTTTTAGAAAAACGCAAAAAGACTTTTTTAAAATTAATGTCATTTTTTCCCGCATGGTGTGATAAAAAGATGGCGTATGCTAGTCATAGTATAAGAGCCATTCGACAAACAGTATTTGAAGAAAAAGGACTAGAAAAAAAATTGAAAAATTTTTTTTTCTCAAAATTTGATAATTTATCAAAACTTTTGCAGAATTTTTCGGAAGTTTTAATTTTATTTACAAAACGGCGCTAGAAATCCAAAAACTACTCTCATTTGAGTATAACTACGTTTTCACGGCTTCTTTTCGGCTTAAAGTAAGCTTAAATAAGCCAATGTAAGCCAAAACGCTCACACCATATTAGTTCCGAAATAGACAAAAACACAAAAATTTCGAACCGTTTTCTTCTCAACACTGAAAATAATTCTGAAAAACTTTAACGTCGTGCCAATTAGGGTTGAAAGAAATTCATTATGATATGTCACTCAACCCATTTTGGTAAATGTTGTGGCACCTGTTTTTGCGTAGAAAACAAAAAGAAAAGACTAAAACACACCCGAAAACAAAGTTCCTCCCCATTTTTCAAATGGTCGTAACAAAAACAAAAACTCCGCTAGCCCCTAGTCACGTGGCATCATCGTTGGCCAATTACTGGTTGCAATCACAGCGCGACCTGGCTTAAACAGTGCACCAGAGCTGCAAAGTCGCCTAAATTACCGAAGGACGATAAACCGTATCAAGGGAGGAATGCACCACAACAAAATGCAGAAAAAAGTGATTGGGCGACGTACAGCGAGTCAGAAGACATAATAAAAACAGAGCTTATTGCCCGTCGGGTCTTTCGTATTTTCACGTACGAGAGGGTCAAATTTAACTTTCTTGAGTGGCGAGGTGGGGGAGTTGATAGAAACTGACTTCATCTTGCCTTCTAGACCTCCGCTACTTATTTTGGCCATGCCAGGGATCGAATGCCTCAATGTTGATTATTTGAAGTGGTAAAATCCGCGACAGTTACCGGCGATTTCCCCTTACAATTGATACAGCCACTAACAATGGTTTTGTAGGAGTCTTTTTGTGGGTCGATGAGTGATCGCCCGGTCTGTCGTCGGTGTCTTCCACTTGAATCAAGAAGACCCAATCTCCCAAAAATGATGGTGGCTGTCTAATGTTATGCCTAATATGTAGATCCGATGTCTTCTGTGGAGGTGGTGACTTCATAGGCGAGTGGGCTTTTCTCTTTAAAATCCCTGAAGGTTTCGATTTTGAGGAGCCTTGAAAAAAAGTTTGACCTGGTCCCAGATTCTAGCAATCTTAATTTTCAAGTTTTAGTACGACATTTTTGTTCGTATGAGGGCTAAGTTTTTTTGAAGGGTTTCCGTGTTTTGGTTCCTTTTCTCTACTTGTCAGTAGTTTGTTTCTTCCTGGCCACCTAATTAAATAATGGGTAGTAACGTAGTTTGTTCAGCGCTAGGGTTCCATGTTTTCGACTGGACTGTGGTCAGAGGTGGAAGCTGATCGGTGGCGGGCTCTAGGTCATCCGTTCTTAGTTCCTCTTGTTTATTATCGGTTGATTTGTGAGCTGACGGGTCTTGCGTGTGTTCGGGGCTGACTCGAGTAGGCGGCCTAATTTTTTTAGGAGAATTAAATCATTAGAGTTGTCATCGGTTATCGTCTCCATAGACATGATCTGAGGGTGATTGGGTAGTCTCAAATTGTTTTTTGGCGTTTAGCATTGTCCGGTTTGTCCCGACTGGATCTGTTGCAAGTCGCTCTCCGTACCAACTGGTAATCTAAGACGCTTCCTCTGTTCCTCTTCCTCTCGCACGAGGATCTCCATTGAACTATTGAATTCAGTGTTTTCTATTGAGTTCCGTCTGGAGATGTCTATTTGTTTGAATCTAGCCTGGAGATTTTGTTTCTTTTGTGTCGTTTTTGAACTTTTGAACCCAACGTTGCTAGCTGGTCTTACAATTCTCCTTGGTCCTTTCGTAGCATAGAAATTCACCGGCTGATTATTTTTTCGCGGGCTCAGCAATTTTTGGTTTGCTATTTTTGTTCAAGGCTAAACCAAATTTGCAAATTGATAAAACTATCTCAATTTTTCTTTTCTAAGCTCTTTATAGTACGGTTCGTCCTTTATGCTAATTTGAACTTTTCTATAGATAAGGGTCTTAACCGTTGGGATACTCAGCAGGGGATTAGGTATCACTATGGCTTCCCCTTCTCTGCGGAGGAGAGACCTTTTCCAGGTGAACACGAACTCTTAGCTACATATTTGGCTGCATTCGCGACATCTTCTTATGAAGAAGAGTCATCGTCTAGGTGTTCATCCTCTATATCATCGGGTGCGTCCCAATCATGTCGTCTGTCCCAGCTCATCATTTTTTTCCCTTTACCTTTACATTATAGAGTTTTAACCAGATAGTGTTTGGTGAATTACAAAAGTGACCTTCGAAAGGAGAGCAATTTAGGGATGTTGAGTTACAGTTCTTAAACGTTTTATGGCTTTCAACAGTGCAAGCTTAGAGAAGATTTCGGTTTTCCTTGTGCCAAAACCATGGGTCTTTTTTGATTGTTCTAATCAAACTCTGAACTAAACTTGTAGCTCTGTGATCTCCCACTGGGCTAAAAACGACGTTTACATTTTGCTTACAAAATTCGCGGACTTCTTTTGAACTAACACTGGCCATTGGTCCGGTCTAATAGTTTTAGATATCCCACATGTAGCGTTATGTTTTTCGTACGAAAACTGATGACCAACTTTGCAGATGTACTAGAAGTTATTTGAGCTGAAGACAACTTAGGAAATCAGTCTACGCAGACGAGCATTTATTTCTTTGTTCTCCAAGTCAAAGGTAACGAGCCGGCAAATTCTAGTTCCATTTCTTGGTTTGGTTGTACGATCGGTGGGAGTTTTCAGAGTTCCCGTTGTTTTGTTAATAGCTTGGGGTTTTTACCAGTACTCGATGCAATTCTCTCCACGAACTTGAATTTCAAGATATTTTTCCGGCCACCAGATGTAGAGTGTCGGCAATTGAGTGGCGAATTGGCCATTGTAGTCCTCAAGCATGCTGGGATAATAAGTCTTCTGTCAAAATAATGTTATCCCCCATTGACATGTAGATTATTAATATAGGGCTTGGAGTGTTTTCCAATCTGTAATTTGTCCTGCTTTTGGCCTTTATCTTTATCTTTAGTACTTTTTAGAACAAGATCTTGTTTTGTAAGTAGAGCCATGAGTTTGAAGTGAAAGGTTTTGGGCCAACAGAATGGAAAAATAGCACCGGTTTGATCTTCAGAAAAGACCCCTCGTGAAACTTGTACTGGGTACAGAAGAAAAGGATTTATTTACACGTGGATTTTCTTGATCAATCGGGTCTGTTCGATCGTATTTGGTCTGACAATTCTTTAATAGTTTTGAAATTTATAGAGAAGTTAGTTGTTTGACAGGATGGATATCAGCTTTCCTTTATCATCAAGAGTTTTTTTGAACATCTAAAACCAGTCTTTGATCTCCAAACTTTGTACTCCATCAGTCTTCCCCAATATCAACCCGTACAACACGTTGTTACTGTCAATTGCTATCATCACCAGTTCACCTCCGTTTCCGCTCAGTGCAGTCCAGTCCATCGTTCTTTTTAGTTTAACCACACCGCTTGATTCATCTGACCCACAAGCTTCTCCTCATGAGTGCATCGAAGACATAACAATTTTTTTTGTCTCAATTATACGCCTGTCCAAAAAAAAATTATTATCACCCATCGCCTTTCTTTGCACTCCCACTAGAGTCCTTCTCTTTTTCGCAACAACTTCTTTCTTCCCACTAACAGAGGAAGAATCTTCCCCACCACTCGCCCCTCCAACCGCTACACTTGATACACCAAGTCACTCCATTCCACCCTCTTATGCACCCTATCCGTTTCATTTGAACTGTGAGCCTCAAAAAATTCTTTTTCTAGATCTCGCTGTTCTGGACATCACAGTGGACATATTCAAGCAACGATAAACACTCAGGTGAAGAAAAATTCAACTGAGGGGAAAATATAATGGTTCTGTGAAATTCAAAATGAAAGGACGTTAATATGATATATCACTCAACCAAGTCTGTGTATTTTTGGTGCCTTATTTTGTGAAAAACATACAAAAAAAACGAAAAAAATAAAATCATCCCGAATACAATTTTTGACCCCATTTTTCAAATGGTCGGATTAACAAAAAAATCCGTTATATTAGAAAATGCTCAACCTCGCGAAAAAAACACGTACAGCAGCACTAAGTTGAAGCCAAAACCAGAAAACAGGAAAAGTGATCCCAGGCTTTACG